CTTCTGGTTAGCAGTCAAATGCCTTAGGCACTAGGCTACCAATAGGTGTGTAATAAATGCTGAGAACTACCATGTCTCTGAAAAGCTAGCATCAGTTCAAATTGTTTCCTGCTGTAGTTTCCCAGCATTGTTCAGCATACGCCATCTGTTTCACTTTGCTACCCATTAGCTACAGAAGTATTCTGACTTCATTCATGTATGACATTAGGCCTGTCCAGTGACACTAAGATACAGCACACATTGTTGGTAATAAAGTGAACTTGTTAACACTTGGGATTTCATTGCTAGTGACTTGTTCTTCCCATTTACTGTTAAGACTGGTTTATAGAAGATATGGCTATAAAGGTCTAGAAGACAGACTAAACCATGGCCTGCAGGCCTTATTTGTAAGTTTTTTTTTTTTTTTTTTGTAAATAAAGTTTTATTGGAACACAGTCACATCAATTTGCTTATGGCTACTTTGAGGAGCCTTGGTGGTGGGTGCAGTGGTTAAGCATTCTGCTGCTAACTGAAAGGTCAGTGGTTTGAACACTAGCCACTCTGCAGGAGAAAGATGTGGCAGTCAGCTTCCATAAAGATTACAGCCTTGGGAACCCTAAGGGCCAGTACTACTCTGTAGACACTATATAGAGACACTATGAGTCAGAATTGATTTAATGGCAACTGGTTTTATGGCTACTTTTCCTCCACAATAGTAAAGTTGAGTAGTTGCGACAGGCACCATATGGCCCTCAAAGTCTAAAATATTTACCATCTGGCCAGTTTGCTAATCCTTGATCTAGAAGCTATATTTGATGTGTGTGTGGCAAGTGCAATCTCAATCAGTCTCTGGAAGTTGTAACCATCCTCTCTCTGTAAGGCAGCTTTCACAAATAGTCTTCTATGATTTTTACTTCTTGGTATTCATGTCCTTGTGTAATCCCCTCCCCTTGAGTGTGGCCTAGACATTGTGACTCACTTTTAACAAAACATATAATAGGAAAAGTGATGGGATATCACTTCTCAGATTAGACGACAAAAGACTGTGACTTCTGTCTTACTGTTATTGCCTTCTTGGCTTGCACATTTTGATGAAGTCAGCTGCCATGTTGGAGAAACCCATGTGGCAAGCAATTGAGGGTAGGTTCTGGCCATTAAGCCACCAAGGAATTGAGATCCTCAGTCTCATAGTTCCTCAAGGAACTGAATCCTGCCAACAGCCATATGGTGAGCCCAGCAGCAAATCCTTTCCCAGTCAATTCTTGAGATCACTATGGCCCAGATAATAACTTGATTATAGACTGTGAGAGATCTGGAAGGAGAGACCCAGCTGAGCCATGCCAGATTCCTGACGCACAGAAAATGTGTGATAATAAATGTTGTTTCAAGCCACTGTGTTTTGGGGTAATTTGCTATGCAGCAATAGATAACTATAGAGATAGATAGCTGCCATCCAGTCAACTTTGAGTGGTAGTGATCTCATGTACAACAGAACAAAATATTGCTGGATCCTGCATCATTCTCATGATCATATATCTGAGTCCATCTTTGGGGCTATTGAGACAATCCATCTCATGAAGGGTCCCCTTGCCCTCACTGGTCCTCTATTTCACCAAACATGGTGTCCTTCTCTAGCGATTGATCCCTTCTGATGATGTCTCCAAAGCAAGCAAGTCAGACAATACTCTGCTGTGATTCATACGGTTTTCAATGGCTAAATTTCAATATAGATCACTAGGCTTTTCTTCCTAGTCTGTCTTAGTCTGGAAGCTCTCATGAAACCTGTACATGGGTAATCCTGCTGGTATTTGAAATACCAGTGGCATAGCTTCCAAGTATTTAGCAATACTATACCAACATGCGGTAAAGGTTGAAAATACAGGTTCGTGAAAAGTGTAGGTAAGTTCATGGCTAATGGCTTTTTACCATTTAGTTTCACATATAATTCTAATATTTTTGTAATAAAAAATTATTTTTAATGATACATATTTTGTAGCCACAGTATAGAAACATTTTGTGATTTCCCTTCACATCTTTTTGGTAATGATTTTGGCAGTGTTATAGTTATCATATAACCTTTTAAGCACATAGTCCTTTTTCCATGTCTTCAAAACCATAGGTTTAAGAGGCCACATAATACTTGTTTCAGGCTGTGCCTGTGCAAGGGGGCCTGGAGGAAGTGGGGCTAAAATTTGGCCAGAGATCCACTAAGACCAAAAAAGAAAAAAAAAAACAAAAAACAAAAACAACCAAACTCACTGCCCTCCAGAGGATCCGACTCATAGCAACCCCTCCTTAGGTCTCTGAGGTGGTATCTCTACAGAAGTAGATTGCCCAATCTCCTTTCTGAGGAGTGGCTGGGGAGTTTGAACTGCCAGCCTTCTGATTAGCAGTCAAATGCCTTAGGCAATACATCACCAGAGCTCCTCACTAAGAAAACCAAAAAAGGGGTGTGTCTTTTTTTTCTAGCTGGCTGGGCTCTTTCTTTTGGTAATTCCACTGCCCCGGGGAGATGCTGTTTTAAAAAATGTACCCAAATACGCTATATGTGCTCCTCCACTCTTAATTCCAGTGAGTAAATATATGATAACATCTTCAACTAGTCCTTTCATGTTGAGCATTTAATTTGCTTCCATATTTCATTCACCATTAATACTTGTTGTGGAATATTTAGGGGCCTAGGAAGATGGGGCAATCTACTTCCGTAGTGATACTGCCTTGGAAACCCAAGAAGGGGTCGCTATGAGTCGGGTCCGACTCGACGGCACATAACAACAACAACAACAACAGATTCAGCCATGTTTTAGATTTGTTTTTGCTTTGATTCTTCAAATAGGTAAGTCAAAAGGCATGAACAGCTTCATGGGTCTTTTTAATGTCACCAAATATGTGGCTTTCCAAATGGTATTACCAATGGTCTCTGTCACCTTTGGTATGTACAAGGCCTATTTCACAGCATCCTCCCCAACAAGTGAAATTACTAATTTCTTGAGGTTGCTGGTTTGGAGAGCAAACAATCTTCCTACACAAAAGCTTCCAACTAACTGTGAGACAATCCTGTTTCCTCAATCATTCCTAGGATATGTAGAATTCTACATGGTTTCTTAGTGTGCTGGCAGAATAAAAGCATATCTTCATAAATAAAATCTTAGTGATGATTTCAAGTCTGATGAGGATTGAAACCCATTTATTTTACTATGGCCACTTTTCATTAAAATAGAGTTGGCTTATATTGAACTTACTGTTACTATAAAATAAAAGAAAGTTTTAAAACAATTTAAATACAATGAAATCATGTGATTTAACGTGCAGTGGCTTGAGAAAAGTCATCAAACTAAGTTTGAATCATCTGTTATTTTTATTGAAGAACAAGGGGGCATCTAATTGGGTAATTTAGGGAGAAATTTGATTGATGACTTTGTTGTTAGTTCTGGCTACAGACTGAGGGCCTTCAATTAAATCACCATTTATCTACTTCCCTCAAGATAAAAATTCTCTATTCAGCAAAACATTCTTTGCTTATTTGACCAAACAATTATCATTACAGTATCTTTGGAAGCAAATAAAGTATCAGAATTCGTATCATATAATTTATGCGTGTAAGGCCAGATTTTGCCAGCTAGGGAGAGGATAACCCTAAACAAAACGAAGTGGTGAAAACAAAGTAGTAATTCTATGATTGGTCAAAGAGCAGTACTTGACAAATAGTGCCGCATCAGTGGACCCAACACCCTTTTGGGAGCTGCAGAGAAGGAAGTCCTATTTTTGATTCTGCTGACCTCAGTGACTATTTCCTTGTCTTAAAAGTGGGCATTTTTTTTTTTTTTTTTGCTACCTAACAATGAGGCCTGGAAAATTAATGAGTCTATAAAATGCTTTCACGTTTCTAGAAGCCCTTCCTAAATACACACTGTAATTTTGTATTCACACAGTCTATGTTCCTGCTCTTTGAAGATACTCGTCTTTATTGGGATGCCTAATGGGACACCTTCTACCACTAAAGTCCACTTTAATTCCTCATAAAATTAATTAATGAAATACTATTTTAAGTGGGAGAATTTGCCTTCAGAAATGGTTTCCAATGTCCATACGGTAACTATTAAGGTATTAGATTCTGCGAGGGATGGAAAGCAGTACATTCTTAAAGAAGGAAGAGGTAAAGAGCAGCATATTACTGGGGTAAGGGATCCAGCAGAACACTCTGTGGACACTCTACAGTGCTCTGCTCGCGACCTGACAAGGAAGTCGGGGGCGCGGGTCCTGGGGGAGGGTTCCAAGCTCCCCGGGGCGTACACAGCCCAGTCTCACCGAGGCCCCAACGAGGCTCTAATACTCTCGCTTGGAGGAGAAGCTGCCCCCGCCGATGCGGCGGTAAACCCACGGTGGGGAGGTGGGGCGACGACAACAAAAAGAAGTAAAGTAGGAGGAGTCTCGTCGCGGGGAGGGCCAGGCTGGGTTACCGGCGGGCTCAGCGGGGAGGAGCCCTCGGAGGGGACCAGCAGCGTGGAGGAGCCCCCACTGCTCCAGCCTAGAGCGGTCGGCAGCGCCCGGGGTGAGGCGCTCCAGCTGTCGGTCGTGCGCCTCACACACGCACACGACCTCGGTGTCGTGGCCTGCACGCCTCAGACCCACGCGGACCCGGCCCCCTCCGCCCGTGCTCCCCCGCCCCTCGCGCCGTTCTCGGCCTCCGTCCCCGCCCTCTCGCCTAGCGCCGCCCGCGCGCAGCGTCTCGCGCCGGCCCGGCCCGCCCGCCGGGAAACAGCCGCGAGAGCAGCGGCCGCGGCGGCCGTCTCTGCGTTATCTCCTCCTGCGGTCCTGCGCCGCCCCCGCCGTCTCGTCCTGGGGCCGAGCGCCCGAGCGTCAGCCAGCATTCTTTCGGGGCCCTCCCGGGTCCTTCGCCCGGCCCCCGTCTCCGAGCCCCCAACCGTCGCGCTCTCCCTCGGCGCGCGGCCCGGCCGCCTGCTTCCGGGGCGGGCGGACTGGGCGCCTGGTGCCGGCGGCCGCAGCGACAGCGCCCCCGGGAAGCAGAGGAGGAAGGAGAGAAAAGGTGGAGGTGGAGGTGGCCGCAGGCTGAGTCGCGGCCGGGATGTCCGGGCAGCAACCGCCGCCGCCGCCGCCGCCGCAGCAGCAGCAACAACAACAGCAGCTGCCGCCGCCGCCACCACCGGCGGCTGTGGCCCCCGTCTCCGGAGTCGTTCTGCCGGCGCCCCCAGCCGTCAGCGCTGGCTCCTCTCCGGCCAGCTCGCCCGGCGGAGGCGCGGGCGGCAGCGCCGGCTTGGGGGCCGCTGCAGCCGCCCTGCTCCTCCATCCGCCGCCGCCGCCGCCACCCCCGGCCACCGCGGCCCCGCCGCCGCCACCCCCGCCCCCTGCTTCCACAGCTGCCCCAGCTAGCGCGCCCCCCGCACCTCCAGGCCTCGCTGTGAGCTCCAGTCCGGCCGGAGGCGGCCTGGCCCCAGCCCTGGCGGCCGGCAGCATCGCCGCAGCCCCCTTTCCGCACGGGGACTCGGCCCTGAACGAGCAGGAGAAGGAGTTGCAGCGGCGACTGAAGCGTCTCTACCCGGCTGTGGACGAGCAGGAGACGCCGCTACCTCGGTCCTGGAGCCCGAAGGACAAGTTCAGCTACATCGGCCTCTCTCAGAACAACCTGCGAGTGCACTACAAAGGTACTGGGCGTGTGTCCTGCGGTGGGAGTGGGGGCACTGACCCGACGTGTCCTGCCGCCGCTTCCGACTCTAGGCCCGCCCCCGACCTCCTCCCTCCCTGGGCTTGGTGCCCTCCGAGGTGACTTGCTGCTCGTTCTGCATCTCCGGGGGTGGGGACCAGGGTCATGTTGAAAGATTCGAGGGTAAGGGGCGAGATTCCTGGAAAAGGAAGGTGAGTATAAGCTACTAGGTATAATGGAGCTGGCAGTCCTAGGCCTGTATGTAGTAGGACACCTTGAGGGAATCCAGAATGACAGGACATAACTCGCTTTCTGATTTTCCTTGGAGATAAATCTTAGGGCTGGGATAGAGGAATCTATGGGCACGGAGTTGGGTTACATTGTTCTCCAGGTGGTGGTGGGTCAGGTGTTCTCTTACGCTGGGGGTGAGAGAAGCACGATTCGGAGGTATGATTTCTAATTAAGAGAGAGCAGGAATGTATAAGGGGAGGAGTAATCAGCAGAGGATTTTGTCCAAAATTAGGCCAGAGATTGTCTAGGGGGACAAAAGGATAAGGAGACCAAGTTTGCCACCAATCTGTCTTACTAAAAACAACTAACTGGGCGGATAAGAGGTGAAACGACAGGAGTAAGCGTTTTTTTTTTTTTTTTTTTTTTTTTTTTTTATTAGGGGAGCAGAAATCTATCACTGCTTGATTGGAAGTGCCCGATATTTAAGGGTTGGTTATGTAAAGTCTTGTTGGAAACACGGATTTGTTTTTTTACATCTTTCAGCAATTTAAAGAAAATTGACTCGTATTTTACACCTGCAATAATAATAAAAAAAAAGACCCACCTTAGGTTTGTGCTTTCCTCTTCCTCTCTCATATCCCCAACGTTAAAACAAAGCTTTAAGCAGGTAAAATTTATATGTACGTATATATTTAGAAATTGCTATGGAAATTTTTGAGATGTAATGCTAATTAATAGCATGCATCAAGTTTACTTGTCTGGGGGAAAAAAATCAATCTAATGGATCAGTCTGTCTGGAAATAAATCCAGTTTTCTAGGCCCCAGACCTGATGTGGGAGCTTTTACATTCAAAGCAGCCTCATTTTGATTGGCTACAAAAGGAGGGTCTTAATCAAATCCTAGTGACGTGAATATAGAGGGTAAAAACAATGTTGTGGTTAAATTCTTCAAGTGTATTGGACTGAAATTTGAGAACCTTGATAAATAAGTTACTGTTTAATCAGAAAGGAGAATGGCAATAGAAATCTACCAAATGATTTGGCTGCAAACAAGTATGCGCAGAAATAGGCCTTGTTGAATATTCTTTTATATCCTTGCCGTATATCCAGAGAAGTACTTTAAATTTTAAGTGTTATGTTTTATAGTAAATAATTGAAACTTTCAAGATATTGGACCTTGTGTGTTTTCTTTAGTAAGGCATTTTGTTGATACCTGTGTAAAGGGTTTGTTTTTTTTTTAAATTTGTGTCATCTGTGCTACATTATGAAGTGTTTACTTTTTTTTTTTATTTATTTAAATATATTTTATTGCAATATAATTTACGTACAGTGAAATTGAAGTGTTTACTTCTGACCTGGTACCAGAAAGCTTTTGTTGGACTTGACAGAACTTTTATCATATTAAAAGTATGGCTGATGGTAAATAATTACCTTTAAAAATCAAAGAATCCTGAGCTCTCCTGAGTCCTGCAGTCATTTGTGATTTTAGGCATGTCACAAGACAGGATAAGGCTTCCATTTTTTCCTCTGGTGAGAGAGCTGGATAGTGGTTTAGGAAATTTCCAACTTTGACTTTCCTTGGTGGCTAAGATTTATGATTACAGTTTATTTAACCCTCTGACATGCTTTAATTAGTTTTACTACATTTATACAAAATTGATGATTTGAGGCAGAGAAAAGTATATGCTTATGTGAAATTAAGGAGCTCTGGTAGCACAATGCTTAAGGCATCTTAAGGTTGGTGGTTCAAACCCATCGGCCACTCCCTGGAAGGAAGACTGGGCAATCTACTTCTGTAAAGATTTACTGCCTTGGAAACCCAATGTGGGTGGCTGTGAGTCAGAATTGACTCGATGGCAGTGGGTTGGGTTTGGTTTTATGTGAAATTGGTTGGAGTTTGGAATATTTATGACATTACTGTCTCAATTTTTCTTGTTGGCCTTTTTGATACTTTCTGTTATGTAATACTAAGATTCACTTTCTGGAAACATCACTTTTTTATAAACATAAACCATTATTTCTGGAAGAACAGATTTCTGTTATCTTTTTTCTTTCTTCTCTTTTCCTTTCTTCCATTCCTTTTTCATTTCTTCCTTCCCCCTTGGCACAGTCTTTACTCCCCCCCTCTTTCTACTGCTTCTTCCTCTTGTCTTGTTATTTTAATGTGTGTGTGTGTGTTTGGGATTTTGTTTTTTTCTGAGTGCCTGCCTTCTGAGTGGGACGCACCAAATGTGTTGGGCAACTCTGTCCCAGCTGCAAAGGAAGGGTGCAGAGGGGAAGTGTCATAGGTAATTACTGCATCTGAGTTTACCTAAGTAAGCATTTTGAGATGTATTTGACATTAAAAACAACTGCTCATATATTTTTGTGCATTACAGAATTCCAAAAGATTAATCATAGTTATTTTCCAGAATGGTGAGGGTATTCCTTGGTTTCTTTTGCTCTTAGTGTATTGTTTTTAAGGTACTGTTCTTTCACATTGGAATTACTGTTTTTGGAGGCATTACTGTTCCTTAAATGATTTGAAGGAATTAAGGTTAAACAAAGCCAGACGTGCAGACAAAGTTGATTGGATTGCAGAGCAATAACAGGGTGTATTTGGATATGTTAACATTTTTTAAAAAACCTTTTGTTTAGCAGTCACACACCAACTATTAAAACACTCAGGGATGGCCCCTCTTAGTTTTTAAATTCTTGTCAGCTTTGAATAAGTAAAAATGTGACTTAAGTGATAACTTTATGCCACCTCAAAACATTTCAATGAATATGACAGTGGATTTGTTTAGCCTGTTTCATTACAGATTATTTTTAAGTTATTACTCCCATTTGGATACCTTTTTTCTCTGTCACGCAGGCTCACACATGTTGTTAGTGGATCTGGGTAAGATCGAGGAATTTCCATTTTAGATATGATAAAATGGGAGTACTTGGAAGATTTTCCCAGTCACAAGTAAGCCAGGATTGGAGACTAATTTTCACTGGCTCCAAATTTATTGCTCTTTCCACTATATCATATTGCCTATTTCAGTTTGTGTGAGGCTTAACTATGTCAAGTAGATAAAATCCGGTGATTACATTTAGAACTTTTTAAAGAATACTTGAGATTAAAAGTACTTTCTCTGAGGGAAAAAGGTAACTGGAATACACTAATGCCATAGAAAAGTCCAGGCACCTTGATTATACTGAATTAGGACAGCTTACAAGAAATACAAGATAAGTGAAAGTTGTGAGTGATAGGGAGTCATGAAATAGTGAAGTACATTTTTTAATTGAAGCATTGTTAACAGGGTCAAACCAAATAGATTGGATTTTTGTTCTATCTAATGCTCCTGCCCCCATAACGACAGTCCTTCTACACTTCCTAAATATAATTGCTTATTGTAATTCTGATTAGAAATTATTAGAATGATAGAAGAATTTCCCTGAAATCAGTGAATTTAAAAAACAAAGTGAACTTTTCTCAGTGATTGCAGATTTAGCTTGAGAAAATGCCAGTTGAAAACTGCAAGAATCAAGTGAATCTAATAATCATACTTAGAAATATAGACAACTATAATGGTAATTTACTAAGAAATAGCTATTGGACAGATATTATGCTAGATCCTTTGTCTGTCTTGTTCAGTATTTTTGTTCATTATTCCTTCATTTATTCAAAGCTTTTAGTGAATGTTTACTTTGTGCCAGGTTCTGAGCACTCAAAGGTGACTAAGGAAATATCTTTGAATTCAGAGAGCTCATGGAACATAAAACAGTGTGGTAAGGGAAACATTAAAAAAACTACTGTGGAAGTTAGGAGGAGCGTCTAACCCAGACTGACATTAGAAAGGGTGAAGTGGGTGGGCTTCTTGGAGGATATGAGACTAGTGGTCAGTTTTAAAAGGTGAGCAGGATATGGGAGAAAACACAGGACTGGGCACTGTCAGTGAAGGAAAAGCAGGAGCAAAAGAATAGAGGAGAGAGAAATATTGTATAAGTTAGGATCTACAAGCAGTTTTGTGTTGTTGGAATTTAGAGTTTGTGACAAGGAGCAAGCAGCTGGGGAAAAGATTCGTGAATGGCACAGTAGAAAATTTTATTGCGTGTAGCTCTTATTCTACAGGACATGATGAATCATCAAAGGATTTTAAATAGAGACATACTCATATTTAAACTTTTATCTGATTACTCAGAAAATTTAGATAGATTTGATATAAGTGCAAGACTGGAAATAGCAAACTCATTTAGAGGCCATATAAGAAATAGGCACCTGAACTTGGTCAGTGGTAGGGGTGGAGAAGAGCAGACATATTAGTGATTTATTTAAAAGTAGTAGTGACAGGATATGAGGAATAGTGAAGGGAGAAATCAAGGATGACACTTGGGTTTCTCTGTTAGGTTGTTACAGTGAACCATGAATCAAATAATGGTTGCAAGGAAACATATAATTGAAGATAGAGTATTCTTTCTATTCCTGGGTTGTGCAGATAGTTATGTGCTAAGCTACTAGCTGAAAGGTTGGTGGTTTGAACATACCCATAGGTGCCTTGGAAGACAGTTCTGGTGATCTGCTTCCAAAAGGTCATAGCCTCAAAAACCCCTGTGGAGCAATTCAGCTCTGCATACATGGGGCACCATGAGTGTGAATTGACTTTATGCAGCTGACAAGATCACCCATGTGATCTGATTTCATGGAAACCAGGAGAAGCCAAAGAATCAAACCCTACAGAAAGAACAGGAACAGGTCTTTTGGAATCACCGTGGTTCTTAAGTGCTCTCAACAGCTGGAGATCAT